ATATGTTATCTGTAAAATAAGAAAGTATTTTTAAAAATTATTTCTTTGAAAATAAATAAAGTGTTATTTATACAATTATGTAAGTGTATTTTTTTGAACAGTGATGAATTTATGTTTCTTTACACGCATTTATATTTCTAGACTTTTGTATGGTGATAAGATTATCTTTCTGCGATACTGGCAGAACTGAGGTACAGTTTGTTACAATGATATGTTTACAGAAATACCACAAACATGCTCGAATGAAAGTTACCGCGCCTAAGCAAAGCCCTCACAATGAACTTTTGCAACATTTTCCAAGAGCGAAAGCAGTCAGGTCATTAGGTAAGTCACCTTTTTTAATGCCAAGAAATCCGTGTCGTAGGATAAGTTCTGCGCATGATGACCTGCATTTGTCTTGTTAAATAAACATTTAACAGATGGGCAAGGCACACGGTGCAAATCGCGGAGATGAGAAATGCCTATACGATTTTGGTTGGTAAGCCTGAAGGGAAAATACCACTTGTAAGACCTAGTCATAGATTGGAGGATAATGTGGATCTTAGGGAATTAAGATTGGATCCATCTGGCGAAGGATAGGGATCAGTGGTTGGCTTTTGTGAACATGGTAATGAACCTTAAGAGTTCCATAAGCAGTTGACCTGCTGACTTATCTGAACATTAGATATCTATATTCTTACAGGTAGAGCCACGGTGGTCTAGCGGTTAGAACGCTGGCCTTGTAATCCTGGGGTCTCGGGTTCGATTCCCGGCGGTGCCTGAATTTATAACTTGTGTTGGGCAAGGCCGTGGTCTAGGCAACACGGAGTTTTCCTCCGTGGCATCCCAACAATTACTCCATTCACACACAGAAGAAGGCAATGGCAAACCACTTCTCGATCATCTGCCAAGAACTTATATGAACAGGTCCCAGTCCGAGAAAAAGGATGGAAGGATCCTGTTCAGATGGACCTGTCGTCAGACAGAACACTAAATAATAATAAGATGAGGTGGGCTAGCGGTTAGAACGCTGG